TAGCAGGAGTGTGGACAGCGGGTGTGCAGGAGCCAGGGTTGGGGACTGTGGATGCCAGGTGTGAGACAGTGGGGTGTGGGGACATCAAGCAGGTGCCAGCGGTGCAGATGCCAGGTGAAGTCCTCAGGCCCAGGTGTCCGTCTGTGTACACATTTAACCGGGGATGCCCCAGGGGGTGGGGTGGGGGGTGTGCAACCGCTCACAGACTCAGCTGTAAACCAGAGGTTCAAGTCTACCCCAGGCCCCTTGGAAAACAGGCCAAGGGATCTACGTCCCCAAACCCAGCTCCCGCCATCCTGCGGAGACAAGTGAGGTCTATGTGGAATTGAGTCATCCAACTCCAGACATCTCCCATCAAGACTGGTATTTCCTGTTCTGGAAATCCCCTGCTCCCAGTCTCAGGGGACTCTGGTCTCTGAAGAGTCCCAGGCAGCCAGCTCAGGGTGTGTCAACTGGGCGGCTCCAAACCGACCTGGAACTGTACCTGCCCTCCACTTCCTGTCTGTCCCTGGATGCCAGCAGCATCTCTCCATCACGGAGCACTCCCCCCATTCTAGCCCTGGCTGCACCCTAGGAGACCCTGAAGAGCCCCGGCTCACCAAAGTGACCTCGAGGGGGGAGTCCAGGGTCTCTGGGTGGACAGGCTCAGGCAGAGGCCACGGGTGGCAAAGGCCTGGACCCCTGGGAGCGGGGCAATAGCTCACTCCTCCCTGCTTGGAATGGGAGAGGGCTGAAGTGGTCACTCAAAGAGAGGACAGCCCTCCAGATGGACTGGCGCCATGGTTACAAGCATGGGCACAGAGCCCAGCTGTGACCGTGACCTGGAGGAGGCGCAGGACCAGATGGTGCCTCACTCCTGTTGCTGTGGGGTCCATACGAGGGGGAGCTGCCCACGCAGCCGCCTGAACAGCCGGCCGTGTTTGTGGGCAGGTGTGGACGCTGAGGAGACCATCCTAAATGCCTTCAAGATGCTCGACCCTGACGGCAAGGGCAGCGTTAACAAGGACTAGTGAGTGCACGGAGGGGGGTGGGGAGGCATAGCTGGGTGCGGGGACAGGACAGGGTCCCCAGCGAGGGGCTATTTGGCCACCTGCCTACCAACCCCCACCCCCCCTCACTTCTCTGAGCATCAACCCATCCCAAACCCACGCCTGCTGCCCGAGCCAATGGTGACCCATAGCAGGGACCTCACACCAGCTCCTGCCCCAGTGCTGGTGTCACAGAATCTCCCGAAGGTTACCAAGCATGATGATTCCGCAGCAGCTCTTGGTACCAGGTGGGCGGGCACAGCAGCCGCACCAATGGGCAGGGGCAGAGGAACTGCTGGGAGGATGGTGCGGGCCGGGCACTGCTCCCTTCTGTTGGGCACAGGGTCGCTGTGGGCCGGAACCCACTCGAGTGATGAACTTTAGCCCCTTTACTGAGGTCTGCCTTGTGCGGGGGGTATCTGAGTGGAGTCTTGGTAACATAGTGGGCGTCCAGCTGCCAAGTCAGCAGTTGGAGACCACCAACCGCTCCTCGGGAGAAAGACGGGGCTCTCTACTCCCGTCCAGAGTCACCATCTCGGACACCCATAGGCGCAGTCCTACCCTGCCCTGCAGGGTCGCAAAGTCGGCATCAATCCCAGGGTTGGTCTGGGACCGAGGAGCCCCCCGGGTGGTGTAGTGGGTGACAAGTTCAAGCCCACCAGCCACTCCGAGGGAGAAGGGCTAGGCTCTGCTCCCATAGAGATGTCTAGCCCACCGGGGCAGTTCTGCTCTGAGTCAGAAGCCGCTCCATGGCCAGTGCCTTGGTTGGTTTCCAGGCTGCAGTGGGGCAGGGAGTAAGCTGGGCTGCTCACTGCAAGGTTGAAGGTTCAAACCCCGTCTCCCCCAACCCCCAGGCTCCGATGTTAGAAAGGCCTGCCGATCTGCTCCCATAGACTCCAGCCTAGGAACACCCCTGCCCCCCGCCCCTCACCGGAGTGGTCTCACCAGCACCAAACCAACAGTCCCTTATACCAGGCGCTGGGGAGGGGGCATTCTGGCCAAGTCCCCACCCCCTCCCAGTGTGGCCCGCATGTGCCTCTCCTTGCCCTCCACTCTGCCCCCACCAGGTGCCCACCCTGAGCCCAAGCCCCTGGGCAGAGGCCCCAGGATATTGGCAACCCAGCCACCCCTGAGCCCCTGTTGGAAACAAGGCTGGTGGAGACACCATGGACAGGCTGCATGCTCTCAGGGGGTCTCTCCTGCCCGAGGGAGTGGGTCCCAGGCAGGTGGCCCCTGGGGCAGCCCTTCCGGCTGGTCCCATTGCTCAGAAACCCTGCCCTTTCTTAGCATCAAACGCCTGCTGATGTCCCAGGCCGACAAGATGACCATGGAGGAGGTGAGGCCTTGCCCTGTCCACCTCCCCCTGACCATACTGCCACCAAGTCCAGTCCAGGGCCTGGGGGTGCTGGGGGGGCAGTGCAGGCAGGTGTGGGACACAGCCACCCCCACCACTGGAGGGTCTCTCCTTTGATGACTTCACCCTCAGAACGGGGGTTGGAAGGGTCAGGAGGGGTACGGGGAGCTAAGGTCAACAGGGTCAGGGTGGGGACTAAAGGCTGTCCTGGGCATGTGGGTGCCCCAGCAGAGCTCTCCACACCCTCCCACCCCTACCTCCTCCGGGCCAACCCCAGGGGGGGCGAGACACCCCTCCCCCACCTTCTGCCTCAACTCCCCGTCACCCACCCACCCACCCTCATGGGATGAAAGGCCCA